CATCATCATCACCATCATAATACTGATGTCTAACATTCACTGAATTCTTACCAGGTGCCAAGCACTGTGCTAACTGCTTTGTACACAATAATTGTGAGTCCCACAGTGCCAGGAGGTTAGTTACCAGAAATACAAAGAGTTTCTATTATGAAACATGTGTATTATGGTTGCTAGGCAAATGGAAAATGTGGAAAAAATTCCAAAATGCTGGGAGGAGGTCTCTATCAGTGGATCTTCAGACTTGGGGATGCTGTGGTCAGTTTGCTTGACATTCTGGGGAAATGTCTCAATAAATTCTGACGAGGTTATCTTCTTAGTGCAGGTGAGTAGGAAAGGCTGCTGCCTGCAGAAATCTTTTTGGAGAAACCTAAGGACAAATCTTGTCTTTTAATTCTCTGGTCAAGAGAACTGTCGGTTCTGAGTTGAGCCTTTGGCAGTCAGTGGTCTCGCTGTGCCGGGATAATTTGGATGCAGTACCAAATAAAGCAATCAAAAAGAAAATTCCTCTGAAACTCTCACTGGTATTTAATATTTTATTCATTCCCATGTTATTGTGCTTCGCCTGCGGTGAAACAGCCTCAAAACAGCCTCCTAGGAGTGAGGCATTAGGAGGCTGACAAGCGTTTTCCCATGAATTGCTACTACAATACAATGGCATTTTGTTTGCTGTTTTGTTTCCTTGTCTTCTAACATTCTTTCTGACTTTCAAGGAAAAAAAGAAGAAGAAAAAGAAACCCTCCTATGAATGGCAAAGAAAAGGAAAGAAAAGTTTCTTTTAAACTTTCAACCTTTTTCATTTGGTACTGGGTAGCATGTAAACATTTTTTTTTTTCTCATGGTATATATGCCGGTAGTTTCTTCCCTTTTTTTGTGTGTGTGCTTTAAATGGCTTTTTTCTTTCTTTCTTTTACCGCATAGCATTGCCTTTCCATTATTGATTCAGAAAATCGGCAGGGAAAAAAAAAATCAACCGTGTACACATATTAAGAAAGGGAAGTCAGAAGAGGATGGACCAAACCATCCATCTATCCATGTGGTCATTTATCTATCAATCCAGCTCGCTACCCGCCCGCTTCTATTAAAATAAATAGCAGGCACTGTACCCATTGCTGGTTGGCTGAAGTTGTGATCTGGACAAAAGGTCTGTTTGGGAAAAGGATGCTGAAGCTCTAATTCTATTTGTGCCGGTTGAAAATCAGGAGGGGTTTTTCTACACTTCACTTTTATTAGATTATTTCTTATAGATGGTTTCTTTTTTCCTCCCAGACGCGTGGTGGAGGCTGCTGAAGCAGTTGGTCTATAGTTGGAATAATTAAATTAACCATTTGGTACAACTTTTAGGGGAGAGCTCGCGTGTAGAAAGCACAACTCTTAACAAAACAGGGCGCTGGGGCTGGGGCTCCGGTCTGGCCCAGCCCCGCATGCCTTTCATCTTTGGAGCAGAAGCAGGACCCCGGGCCACAAAAGACCCACAGAGGGGACGACCGGCCAGGGACGGTGGGGGTGGGGAGGCGTGGGGTGGGGTGGGGTGGGAAGGGGGACGGTGACACTGAACAAAATAAACCTACAAGGCCTACAAAGGGGAAAATGAAGTCAAGCGCATTTGCTCATCGGACCGTGCGGTCCCCGCGCTGAAAAGTCCCCTGGTACAAAGAGAAGGAGGCGCACAGCACCCCGACCGGGCGAGGCCGGGCGGCAGGGGGCGCCTGGAGAGAGGCCAGGGCCGACCCGGGCACCGGGGAGAGGGCTGGTGCGGTGGGGCGAAGGAGGCGGGGAGTCGAGACGGGTGGGAGCCGCGGAGCGCAGGGCGGGGAGTAACCCAGTCCGGGGGCCCAGGGTGCCTCGGGGAGCGCGAGGCGGTGCCCAGCTCGGGCCTCGGCTGGGCCTGCCCCTCACCCCCACAAGCCTCGCACGCCCCTCGCCCGGGCCCTTTGGCGGAGTCTTAGCCCTGCTCCCTGGGCTTCTCCCGTCTCCCCGCTCGGAAGCCTCCAGATCCAGCTTCCCCGACCTGCACACCGCACTCCCCACGCCAACAGCTCCAGCGCTTAGGGACTGCCCTCGTGCACCGACAGAATCCCAAAGTTCTACTTTGTCACTCAAGAGCCACTGTCAATAGCTGTTGATATGAACCCTGCACCTCCGAGCTCCCCTCACACTCGGGGTCTGCGGCCCACCTCCGTCCCAAGGGCTATAGGGACCTCTAGGGACTGTCTGCAGATTAGGACGCAAGGTGTAATTGCCCTGCACTCCGGGCGGGCGCAGAGCCGTGGCTCCCGGAGGATGGAGCTTCTTGGGCAGAGCGCGCGCGCTCTACACCCGGCGGAGACACAACCCCGGGTGCACCAAGGCACAGGCGCCAAGAGAGGTGTAAGCCTGGTAATTGCCAAACACGGGCCTCGGAGCCAAAACGCATCGCCGCCCAGACGCACTGTGTCACTCTCCTGCAGAGAAACGCGCTTAAAATCCACGTGAGCCGGAGGAGGGGGCTTGCTGGGTGCCATCCAGACCTGTCTGTGCTCCCTGCATCCACACCCCCTGAATGCCGGCCTGGGCAAGCGGGGTCGTGTTCGGAAAACCAGGAGGCACCCCCCTCTCCCAAAAGTTCGAGGGATTCTAGAAACTTGGACAATCGCAGCCTTATGCTTGACAACCTATCCTCCACCTCCCTTAAAGAGGGGGGGGGGTCGTGGTGGTGGTGGTGTAAATAAGGGGGGGATTCCATGTGTAGCGTCCAAAGGGGCACCACCACCTCCCCGTCCAAATGCAGATCCATATTCATGAGAACGGGATAAATAAAGACAAATCCCCACTGTAATAACACTTGGATTCCCATCCGTCTTTGCTGGCCTTTAGGTTTAGGGGACTGAAGACAGATGTTTGCATCTCTTTTCTCCTCTTGTCTGGTGACCATAAAGAAAAACCATTTAGAGCGTTGCAATTTGTTTCTCGGCGCAGTACAACCTTGTACACATTTATTTTCATTTCACCCCGTGCACAAAAAAGTGCACACTGGTCACCAAGGGCCCTTCTTTATCAAATACGCATTGTACAACATACAACTGCAATAAAACTATCAGCCCTCCCCATAAAACTATCACCAGGCTGCTCCGCGGGTCCTGCTGCGTGCACTCCCGACATTAGCTTTTCCTCGCGTCCAGAGGATGCGCCATCACCTGAAACCAGCCTGAAACTCACCCAGCAGAGAAGCACGAGGCTGGGGGGCCCGAAGTCCCTGTTTAATCCATTACAGCGTCCGCTGCAGTTTAGTGCGCAATAAAACACGGTGGCAGTGGAGAGCCGGCGCCCATCCACTCCCCAGCACTAGCATCGAATTAAACCACTTAGTTTGGCAAACACTGAACGCCTAAATGCCCCTATAAAGACTTTATGAGTTTGTTACTTTAATTACTGACTTGTTACAGAGCACATAAAGGGGGTAATGAATGCAATAAAACTAATTATCTACACATTTAATTCATATAAAATATCCAGGGTTTGTTTACACCACACGGCGATTCAACTAAGCATTCCTCCTCTTGTCCACCGAGAGGAAGGATTTAATGAAATAGTTTTCCTTATTCTGCTAGAGCCTAACGAACCAAATGAAAATTACCCTCCGCTTAAATCATGGGGCCACCGAGGTCCACAAATCACCGCTCGCTTCTTTGTCTGCACCTTGCTGCCAGCACCCAAGAGCCTGAGGAGTTTGGACAAGGAAAGTGCCCGACCTGCAGCCTGGGCATTTAAAGAGCAAAGATTGTGCTCACTGCGGTCAACAAACCTGAAGGGCAAGCAGACAGGAATCTTCTTTTCGAAGCCCCGGGTCTGTGGGGGGCTGTGGGCACCTGAAAAAGTGTAGGTGATAAAAGAGGAGAGCGCCCGAGAGGGATGGAAGAGGAGACACATTTGGGGACACTTCTTGCCCACTTGCCAGCTATGGAGTAATTAAAATCAAAACCGCACAGAACTGCCAAACCAACAAAAATGCAAACCTCGCGCTAACGCAGAAAGACCCAGAGCGGACCTCAAAGAAGCCATCGGTTGACAAGCCAGATGTTTCACATTCAAGAGCTTTACTCAGATGTTGTTTTATTTTTTAAACAGCTGTGTAAGCGGAGTCTCTAGAAAAAGCACGTTAAGCAGCGACGAGAAATGCAATTTATAAGATGCTCTCTTTTTTTAAACCCCCTCTACCAGGTGTATTTTAAAGAAATCCGCTTATCCTTCACATAAACCCCCTTGGCCCACTTACTCTATGTTACAGGGCGCCTGAGTCTTGCCAATGTCCCAGTCCTTTATAACATTTCATGCACTTCGGGGGGTAGGCTTGTTGTTAAATTGAGCGTGTAACGCTCTTACAAAACAGGTTTTCTATGACATCAAGGTTTCTTCTCCCTAACCGAGGGGGAGAAAAAAAAAAAAAAAAAAAAAAAAGAGGACGAAGAAGAGGGAAAACACACACACTATCTCAATTTATGCCTAAGGTATATGATCAGTTAAAAAGGCTTAAAAGCTCGGGGAAATTGGATCAGGGAGAATCGTCACCCAACTTTCATTATTTCCAAGTAGTGTGATTGAATTAAAGGGCAGGGAGCTGGTTAGAAGGGAGGATCAGGGGCTCAGTGCGTAATGGTGTGGTATTAAATTCTAATTAGAGATGCAGGAATCAATGATAGGGAGGTTGGACAGCTCAGTTCCCCAGTGCCAGCCCAATAGACGGATGAGTTATTGTCATGTAAAAAGCGCCAGCAATAAGACCAACCGCTTTGCTATTGTCCAAGTGGAAAGAGCCAAGTTTATTATGAGGACTATATGCTCTAGAGACCTCAGACAAGGCATCTCATAGGAGGCTTTTTCATAAAACTAGGCTCTGCTGGTAGTAAGGAGGCCAGTTTGGAGGCAGGCGTTGAGCTGTGCACATCTCCCCACTCCAGCCACCTTCTCCATACCCATCTTTTATTTCATTTTTCCACTTGGCTGAGCCATCCAGAGCCTTTTCAATGTATAAAATGGAATATTCTTACCTCAATTCCTCTGCCTACGAGTCCTGTATGGCTGGGATGGACACCTCGAGCCTGGCTTCAGCCTATGCTGACTTCAGTTCCTGCAGCCAGGCCAGTGGCTTCCAGTATAACCCGATAAGGACCACTTTTGGGGCCACGTCCGGCTGCCCGTCCCTCACGCCGGGATCCTGCAGCCTCGGCACCCTCAGGGACCACCAGAGCAGTCCGTACGCCGCAGGTAAGGACCGCCAGCTTTCTCAGCGGAGGAAGCCGCCTTTCCGCTCGTATATAGGAAGCCTTGATTGCATTTGAAAATGGAAATGTGTTTAGTATTTACCAAACGAAATTTGCTTACACAAATGAAAGAATTTATCACGTTAGAAGCGATTGCAGGGAGGGGTAATTCACTTACAGGGTTACACTATCCTAGTCACACCCGAACCGCCAACAAAATTATCTTAAGCTGCCAAAATGATAGGCATAATTTATTTACTTTGCGATGAGACGTAAAGCTTAGAAAATAATTAAATAACAAAGAGTAAAGCTCATTACTGGCAGTGTCTCTTTTTTTAAGAACCGACAGCGGCTCACACCTCTTTCGCTGGTCATTTTTATGATTATTTCTTAAATTTATTATTATCATTATTTTTTGCAGCACTTTCCCCCAACTTTTGGGCAGGGTCAACTTCTGAGAATTGAAAAGTTCCAACAGTGGGAGTATGGGGTAATTTCTTCCCCGGTTCCCTGATATTCCGACTGATGTTTTTGGACTTTTTTCCCTCTCTCGTCTTTCCTCTTCAAAGCATTATCCCGTGCCCCGGCCCTCAGTCGTCTCCGGCGCGCTGTTTTAACCCACCCAAAGGTGCTCGTGCCAAGAGGGACCCTGCCAAAGCCCGGAGTTTGCCTGTTTCGGTATATAACTAATTTGCTCGGTTTTTCCCCGCAGCTCCTCTCAGCCAGTCTCCCGCGCCGGCGTCGGTGGCCGCTCCAGCGCTACCGGATCTTGGAGTCCCCACGTTCCGGCTCCGCGGCCCGTGCGCTCCAGACAGTATCGCTCACACTCTGTCCCCTCTGTTGTCCCCCAGTTCCTTACAAACTCTTCACCGACCACGGCGGCCTCAACGAAAAGCGCAAGCAGCGGCGCATCCGCACCACTTTCACTAGCGCGCAGCTCAAAGAGCTGGAGAGGGTCTTCGCAGAGACGCACTACCCTGACATCTACACCCGGGAGGAGCTGGCTCTGAAGATCGACCTCACCGAGGCGCGAGTCCAGGTATGCGCGCCCGGAAACCGACCCTGCTTCGCCACACCCGGCCCGGTAGGGTACGGAGGCGGGGAGCGGGCGGTGCTCCTGGAGGTTCGGAATACCCGGGCCTCTCCACACGAGGGCCTGGGACTCCAGGACCGAACAGAGAGGCCAAGTTCCAGAAGGGCTGTGCACGCGAGGAAGGGTTGGGGCGTGCGCTCGTGTTTGTACGTGCACAGCTGCAAAGCGTTTTCCACCCCAGGTAGCCCTGCAGAGACTTTCGGGGTCTTGGGACGTAAATGAGCAGGGCTTTGGGGGACAGGAAATGACTTGTGGCGGGGGTGCAGACGTTGCCCCGTATCATACGTGGGTTTCTTGTTTTTGTTTTTCTGCCTCCTAACTCAAGTTCTTTTAACTTGGAACCGTGGAGTATAGGTGTCTTTCCCGGGTAACTATGACTGGGATCACATTTGCAAAGGGGCTGCGACTCCATGAAGGTCATGAACCGCGGCTAACCCTAACCTTTTAGGGACACAGGTGCACTCACGAGCTGGCCAGGCGCCACTCCAGATGAGCCCCATTGTACGCTACCTCGGGCTCAAAGGCCAGGATGGGCGGCGAGCGTCAAACCCAGAGATACCCTCCTTCAAACAATTAGGGTTTAACCTTAGACCTGCGGCCTAGAGGGGTATGGAGAGTTTGGAGTGGCTCAAGAAATTGACTGAGCAAAGGCCGGCCAATACAAAGGCTTCCCTTTCAGGGAATCTCGGCGACATGGGGCCTTTTAACATCTCCTGCAAGCCGCCTTCTTCCTGGCATGCTCAGGTGACCCTAAGAAAGTTTCTCCGAAGACGCACCCGCGGGGGCGAACTTGGTGGCGGGGTGCGCGCAGGGGTCCCCGTCGCGCGAGGAGTTTAAAACAAACAGATACGGAACGTGAGCCGTCCTACTGCGCGCTTGGCTTGCGGGTTTCCTGCTTTCTCGCGCTGCTTCACCGCCTCTCCTCTCCCCTTGCGCCAGGTGTGGTTCCAGAACCGCCGCGCCAAGTTCCGCAAGCAGGAGCGGGCAGCAGCGGCCGCCGCGGCCGCGGCCAAGAACGGCTCTTCGGGAAAGAAGTCCGATTCGTCCCGGGACGACGAGAGCAAAGAGGCCAAGAGTACCGACCCGGACAGCACTGGGGGCCCCGGCCCCAACCCCAACCCCACTCCCAGCTGCGGGGCGAGTGGCGGCGGCGGCGGCGGGCCCAGCCCGGCAGGAGCGGGCCGGGTGCTGCGGGGCCCGGGGGCCCGGGAGGTGAACCCGGCAACGCGGAGGCGGCGGCGGCGGCTGCGGCGGCGGCTGCGCGCGGCGGCGGCAGGCGTGACCGGGGGTCTGGCTGCAGCCGGGGCCCCTGGACGAGGCTGCTCCTGGCCCAGGCCCATCACCTCCATCCTGATTCTTCGGGGGCCCTTCGCCAGTGTCCATCTTCGCTCCAAAGACCAACGTGCCAAGCCTTAGTGAAGAGCAGTATGTTCTGATCTGGATCCTGCGTGGCAGCGCGGCGGCGGCGGACGGCGGCGGCGGCGGGGCGGCGGGCGGCGGTCCGGGCGTGGCGCTGGCGAGCGGGTAGGCCCAAGCCTATTGTCATTGCTGCTGCCGCGGCTTTTCACCGAGAACCCGAAGTTATCGCGATAAGAATAAAGAGAAAATGGCGCCCCCATTTCAACCCCACTCCTCCCCCTATCGTGAACCCCCAAACAAAACAAAACTCAAAACTTCCTGGCTTGGCACCTGCCCGGCGGCCTGCAGACCGTATAGGGCTCAGCCTGCCGGGGGTGGGCAGCGGCCCCGGACTCGGGGGCACTCTTAGGGGGGCTGTGTCTGCGTGTCGGTATATGTCTGTCTCGGGGAATGTGTGTCTGTGGCCCGAGCAGGTGACAGGGAGAGATGGGGGGGGGCGCGCAACCGACTCAGCGACTTGCTTAGGAAAAGAAAAAAGTAAACAATCCCCTCAACTTAAAAAAAAAATTTTAGTAAGGCAGAGATCACTTTAAAAACAAGCAAACAACCCGGAAAGGCTTTTAAATCCAAGGGAAAACAAGTAAGGTGGGGAAGAAGGGAGGCTGAAGCTAGCACCGTCTGAGGGCTCTATCTTGTGAACCCCCAAATTTGCGCCCTCCTGACAGCACAGACTCCCTTGGGGCTCCTCCTCAAGGGAAAGTAAGGGTGCTTTCCAGCCCCCCTTCCCGTTGTGTCCTTGGGTTCGGGTTGCTGAGGCGACGACTCGTGCAGACTGTCCCCGCGGCCAAGGTGACTTCCTCGCTCCCACCTGCCTGTCCCACCTCGCCAACACCATCCTGCCATTAGCGCATCCGAACCCCGCACAGTTGCAACTCCCAACCCCGAATCTTTGCAGCCACTCGGCCCTGAAAGATGCCCTATACATGAGATGCCTTTTCATCCGCAAACTCTGCGAACGGTCTCCTATTTCGCAATTCTTCCCTTTTTTTTTTCTCTCTCCTGTCACATTCCTCCCACCGGCATTTTCTTCTTCCACCAGCTTTTACCGAACTTTTTGGCACTGCTTTGGATTAGAGTCAATTGCAGTCCACGCAACTGGCTGCAGAGAAACCTACCGAGCAAAGAAAGGCGTGCACACAAGTTTGCAGAAGTGTCTCGGTTTGCATTTCTGTTTGATAGGAAATGGACTCACATCCTGTATGGTGGATGGACTGTATATTGATGATTCCATTCTTCAAGCAGATTAGACATCTCTGTTGGAATTTGTTTTTTGTTTTTGTTTTTATTTTAAAAGGCACAAACTATAGATATTAGTTGAATGTTGAGGCTTTAACTTTTTCCGTGTCTTTCTACAACTGTGTTCTGTGACTCAATTGTATCGTGTTAATATCAGTACAGACCGTCTCCTCTACGTGACCGTATAATGTTTTTCTCTTCTTGTAGTCTCTATGGCGTGTCTTTATGGAGTAATAAGGTTCTCACGGGTTCAATTCCTTTGTGTTTAGAGAGACCAAGGTTCAGACAATGGTATATATTTTTGTTATCAGGTGCATGTCTGTCTGATTTCTTTTTTCTTCTTGTTGGACTATGTTTGTGAACATAAGCGTCATAAGTTATGTTTCAGATTTTCAAATTTATTTATATGTGTTATAATGAATGCTTCTATTTAAAAGGGAAATATTTCTACATGTGCATATAGTTTTCCAAGAGTGTACCATTAACTTGATTGTTGATAATAAAAACAAAAAGCAAGTCTAGCAATTGAACTCTTCTGACTTTTCCTTGATTTTTTTTTAAATTTAATTTTAGAAATTATAAGGGAGGACAGAGGAAGAGGAAATTGTACAAAATATCTAGAAGCCACTGTAGCTCTGGAAACCCAAGCAGATTAGGGAGTCTAAATGCACGCATCCAAATTCAGCCAATATAAAATTTAGTGCTTGGGATAGCAGGCAAGATTCTCTGGTCTGTGTTTATTTGTCTTGTGGTCACCAAACATAGAAGCACAACTACGGCATTGATAAAAATGTTCACATGGATGCCTACACTGAGGCCAGGGGACTCAGTGACAGCAGAAGTAGTTTTTGAATACCCAGCTTGGAGAAAGACTCATAAGTGAGGATTCCGTGTGCAGGTGCTTTCAGGACCAAGGGCATCTAGTAAGGTCCGAATGGTAGAGCCTCCTTAAGCCTTGCAGAATGCCAGCACCCCGGAACACCAGAGGGTCTCTGTGTGGGCAAGTGGATCCGGAAGGCCTTGGCCTGAGAACAGCTCTGCAAGGTTGGTGTGTTTGGAGACATAACACTGGCAACAACCGAAATTAGTGAGCACTTGCATGTAGCTATCTGTGCTTTCCATGTGTTATCTCATCTACCCCTCAAAACAACACCACAAAGCAGGTAATATTCCTATACTCATTTTCTTATAAACAGATGAGATGCTAAAGTGACAAAGAAGTTAACTTGCTCTAGAGTCTCTAGTGTATGAGTGATGGGGCCAGCCTTTGAACCCAGGAACTCTAATTACAGAGCCTGAATATTAACTACCCCACTGGTCCCCCCAAAGTATGGTCCCTGGACCAGCAGCATCAGCATCACCTGGGAACTTGTTAGATACACAAATTCTTAGACTCCATCCTAGATCTACTGAATCAGAAACTCTGGGAGTGCAGCCTGGCAATTCATGTGTTTTAATGAATTCTATAGAGGATATGAGAACCACTGAACAACATTGTAAGAAACCCAAACAGGAAGGTTCCAGAATTGGGACTACCTTGGGAATAGGTGTGTGTGTGTGTGTGTGTGTTGAGGGGGGAGTGCTGGCAGCTTCAGTGATCCCCTTTTGAAAGGAGGGAATCACCATCACAGCCCCAAAATGGAATTTTTTTTTTCAACGTTTATTTATTTTTGGGACAGAGAGAGACAGAGCATGAACGGGCGAGGGGCAGAGAGAGAGAGGGAGACACAGAATCCGAAACAGGCTCCAGGCTCTGAGCCATCAGCCCAGAGCCCGACGCGGGGCTCGAACTCACAGACCGCGAGATCCTGACCTGGCTGAAGTCGGACGCTTAACTGACTGCACCACCCAGGTGCCCCTGGAATCTGCTTCTTCCTTGAACTGTTTGGTTGGTCAACCTTCTTCAAGCAGAAGCCTGTGTGGTACTTCTCCAGGCCTTACCAATAGATGACTCAGTTCTCATTTGAGGAGAGTCCATAGTCTGCCTCCTCTGACCTGAGGATTAGCTACTGATCTGGCTTGAATTTATCAGAGCTTCTCACCTTAGGCATCCAAATATGGCTTTCAGCAAATCAGGCAGGTTTCCTTTAGAATTTTCAAACATTTGGATTTTATCTAACTTCTAATAGTGTTTCTAAAGGACTTTTAAGCAGTCTAAAAAATCTGTTTTCGGGACACCTGGGTGGCTGAGTCAGTTGAACGTCCGACTTTGGCTCAGGTCACGATCCCGCAGTCTGTGAGTTCGAGCCCCGCATTGCATCGGGCTCTGTGCTGACAGCTCAGAGCCTGGAGCCTGCTTTGGATTCTGTGTCTCCCTCTCTTTCTGCCCCTCCCCCGCTCATGCTCTGTCTCTCTCTCTCTGTCAAAAATAAATAAACATTCAAAAAAAATTTTTTTAAATCTTTTTAAATGCTCTATGCAAACTCCCAAGACAATATTCCATAAGAAATGGCATTAATTGTTCTGATCTAAAATGCCAACAATTGTAAGATCCCTTAGACCCCATCCCTTGATTGTAAGTGTAATTTACAAGGTCTAGGAGAGGCAAAAAGTAGGACAGGAATTTATAGAGGAAAAGAACAAAGTCCAGGTAACCCAGTCCTAGGCTTGGCTAGAAGAAAATTAGCCTTCCCTTAGGCATCGAGGGCCACTGTAAGCTGATGTCCAGAACAGTGGGCGGGCATTCTGGACAACTTACGACCAGGAGAAAGAAAGAAAACAAGAAGTAGAAAGAGGAACAAAAGAGAAAGAAGGAAGAGGAAAAACAAATAGCCAAAGTAGAGGTTTTAGAAACCTCAGCGAAAGTCCTAGAAATCCTTTCAGATGGGTGCAAACTAGATGAAGATCCCCAAATTCCCTTCTCTTGGCCTTGACTTGCTTGAGCAACTTATCTCCAGGATAAGGGAAACTCTGGAGATTAATGAGGAATAATACATGCTTCCCATCCCCATACTGCCTTGGCTTCCCAACGGATTGCATTTTTAGTGTCTGGAAGCACCCAGCTTCAGTATTTTAAATATTAACTTCTTTTTTAATTTGGGTCACCTCTGCCTCTCTTACTGGTCAAAGAGGCAAACTATTAGGAGGCAAGTTTATGATCAAATGCAAAATAATGCCCTTGTAATATGATGGAGCCTAGTGGCAGGACACTGTGTCTCTTGAGTTGTGTCATTTCCTTGGAGCTCTGCACAGTGTGAACAAGCTCACTTCCACTTTTCCTCTCCTAAAGAATTTGCATTTTGGCTCATCAAGGCATCCTTTTTCCTGGCAACTGCGGGACCACATGTGACTTCACAAAAGCTGCATGAGCTGATGCCAGATGGCCACCTCTAAGCCAAGTCTCCTTCAAGATGGCTGAATACAGAGAACCAGAGAGTGGTTTCTGAGGACAGCAGGTAACCAAGCAAATAGTAGCTGTCTACAACTCACCCAGATGCTTCTCTCTGGCCTTACCACATCCTTAGAAATACAGCCTGTGACTAGATTGAGATGATCCTCAATTCAGGGAAAAGATCCACATGACTTTGGACTGCAAGTAACTTAATCCCTTTGAGCCTGATGCACCAACTATAAATGTGAATAATAATACAGACTTTGTAGGGTTATTGGTGGAATGAAATAAAATGTACAAGCATCCAGCATAGCAGGAGGTTTTCCACAAATGTCAGATATGATGATGATGATGATGACGAAGAAACTTCTGGATCCTTTCTTGATCTCTCTAGCCCAGGCTTCAGAAGGTTAAAAAGAGCCCTCAATTGTCACTGAAGTCAGTGGCCCA